CTAACCTAACTTAACTTAATCTAACTTAATCTAGCCCAGCCTAGCTTAACCTAACCTAATCTAACCTAATCTAATTTAGCCTAACCTAACCTAACTTAATCTAATCTAACCAAACTTAGCCTAACCTAATCTAACCTAACCTATATATATATATTTCTTTTTTCTTTCAAATATATCTCTCAAATATGTAACGTTATCCTTTACCCATACATGGTAAAATAATTTTGAAAATCATGAAAATTATTGCAGACGATGGAACGGAGCAAGGAGTGTCGGCCAGGCCACGACGAATGTCCGAATTCAACATGGCCACGAAGAAACAACCGATTCCAGCCGGCTCGGCTTTCTTCATTTTCTCCCAAACGAATAGGTACGATATATTCGATATTCGAATGTAATCGAATAATTTTCAACATATTTTTCCCTTCTGATGTTTCAGAATTCGAATATTCTGCCATTGGCTATGCAATCACAGCTACTTCGGCAACGTGATCCTCGTGTGCATCATGATATCTTCGGCTATGCTAGCGGCCGAAGATCCTTTACGCGCCACCTCTTCTAGAAACTTGGTGAGAGAGAGAGAGAGAGAGAGAGAGAGAGAGAGAGAGAGAGAGAGAGAGAGAGAGACGATCGAGTCAATCAATCGAATTATTCTTCTGCTCGCAGGTTCTCCAGAAGTTCGACTATTTCTTCACCACTGTATTCACGATCGAGATCTGTTTAAAGATGATCTCTTACGGTTTCATCATACACGAGGGTGCATTCTGTCGATCGGCGTTCAACCTGCTCGATCTTTTGGTCGTGTGCTCCTCTCTGATCTCTATGTCTTTCAGGTAAGAGAATTGTTCGCGAGTTCCATTCCCTTCCTTGATCCCTTCGTTAAAAAAAAATAGGAAATATATTTTTATCTATGTTCATGTTTCCAGCTCCGGGGCATTTTCCGTCGTCAAAGTTCTTCGCGTGTTACGCGTGTTGAGGCCTCTACGCGCCATCAATCGTGCCAAAGGATTGAAGGTATCTTTCTTTTCCTCTTGCGTTTACATAAAAACGGACGAACCTGGATAATATTATATGTTTATTAAGCATTAGCCCCGAAGTAGTAGTTGTAACGTTTCACGAGTGAAGAGACTTTTTTTTTTTTTAAGTTTCGATACTTCGTTTCTTTGAACCGAGTCGCGGTTTTTTAAAATTCACGCGAGATTCCTTTTTCACGATTAATAATAATGTGTACGTACTTGAGAGATGCATTACTTATGCATTTCAATTTTCGCGTCGCAGAGGAAATTAGAATAAAATGGAATTTAAAATGAATCTGATGATAATTCCTTTTTTTTCCTCTTTATTTATAGTTTCCTTTGCGATTCGAAAAATAATATCTTGAAAAAAACAAAAAAAAAAAAAT